ATTGATCGTCTTATACATCATAAGTTCTCACTTTTTAAGTTTTTTCATGATCTTATATCACTAGAATGTGAGTCTTAATTTTTTAATAAATTGATCAACCCAAACAAATAAAATCTTAAATTCAAATTATAAATCCCAACTATATGAATATTTATAATGATAACGAGTTTCACAGCATTTGAATAGTTTTTACTTCTCATCCATTGGCATCCAAAAGGTACTGCTCCAATTTGATCCTTCACAATTGAAATTTTAATTAGACAATCTTAAAAGTCTAAATTATAAAATTCATAGAGCCTTGCACTACTTTCATGAAATTATTCTTAAGAAATGACATCTCCTTAGATGTAATTAATTGTAGAGGTTTGACTTTATGGGAAACTTGTAAGGCATGGTAATGTCAACTCTATCTAACTCCTTGTAAGACAAGGAAAAAAATATGTGCTTCATGCAAACACATAAATGTTGAAATTTTTATTTATTGATTAAATTTAGTATATAATGACATTCCTATATGTTTAGATAATATATTATTTTTAATGTAGCACTTGATATCTCAATAAAAATAAATAAAATTTGTATGGTGCGAATAAAATAACTCATGCATTTGCATAATAAATATACATCAATTCAAGAATCTATATAAGGATTACTTTATTTGATTATTTTATTTTCATATTCTAACAAGATATTTGGTCAACAATTCTTCACAGAATAGAAAATAAGAAAAATGACAATAATTAAGAATAAATAGTCGATTATGGTTTCTGAAAACAACCATGAAAAAGACTAGATTCATAAATGCCTTGAATTTGAGAAGAAAAAGAGAAATACCTTATCATATGAAAATGCTCATCAACATAAGCATGCTATGATGTCGCATCTTTGTTGTCATTGAAGTAGACAACATGAATACATGAAAGACTACTCTGTTTCCAATATCCACAATTGCACGTTTTCTATTGGTTGCCAATTTTATATCTTTCTGATATCCCTCAACTTCGGTTGCTTATGTTGTTGAAGGTCTAATGATGAACCTTATATTCTTGTAGTTAACCTTCGTATATATTCCTCAACTGCAGGTACTAATTCACATCTTTACTTGCTTGATTTAAGCTTTATTTTGGCTTTTTCTCCATTATAATGTCTCTAATAATATCAACCAAATCTTCAATAAGTTTCTCCCTAGCTTCTACAATCCCTGAATTAAGGGATTCTGACATGTCATTATAGGTTAAATTTTTAATTTCAAGCAATAATTTACATTTTTCCCATTTGTATGGAAGATTGAGTAGATATGCATGACGATGTGGGATATTTTCAAAATTTTCATTGAGTTTCACTTTGAATTTTGCTCGAGTGTAGACATTTGATGCCAACCAAATATTGTGTCAAATTGCTTGACTATCATGGAAATTGTCGTATTTCTTAATGTTCTTCTATAGAAGAAGCACACATAACCTATGTTCTGCATCTAAAAAATGCCTACCTTAATGCCTCAATCAAACCCTTCTCCTTGTCTGAGAAAAACACTAACGACGCAGCTTCAAACTCAAAAGATATGGCTAAATTTCTCAGAAACCATTTCCAAGTTTTTTTTTGATTATGGCTCGACTACTGCATATGCAATTGTAAAAATTTCATTATTCTCATCCATGACATTTTTTGAAAACAATACTCCCTAAGTATTTTGATTTTAGTGTCATGCATCAAAGCCCATGAGATGCTTGCAACTAGCTAAGAACCCAATGATGCACACCTTAAAACTAACAAAAACTCTCTCAAGTATTTGATCAATGTCGCTAAATTCAAAAGTAATATGAGAACCCAAACTTCTTTTAACCAGCTCCGCACATAATGTAAGAACCCATTTGTAACTACCATCAATTAATTCAAATATTTGATCACACACTAATTATCAGATCTTCACAACTTCATGTAGTGTAATGACAACCCATACTTTTTAGGTCAAAGTTAATTTATTTTGGAGACATTTTTGGATAAGTTTTTATCATATTTTTCTATTTTATTAACCACAAAACTAGTCATTGTCTGTTTGCTACTAGTAATATTGACACCTAAGCAAATATGTGAAGCTTTAATTTTCCTTACTTCAGATGTTTGCCCGTCGACCAAGACTAAAGCTCTCACTCTCTGTGGGCAGTCATTATAAGAATAAATGATAATAAATCTCCTTCTATCAGTCGTCTAAAACTTTATTTCAAATTTCCCAACAATGATCAAATTTCAAATAAATTATTTCAAATTTGTCGAATTCTTAAACTAACAACCAATTTTTAAAGATCTATCATTACTCATTTTTCTCATTAATTACCAATCAATATACTCATCAAGTTCATATGTGTATCTACTAGTACTGTCATAGCTTGATTGATAGCACTTAATAACTTCACCGCCATGCGATATGATGAATTTTAAAGTATCAACACCAATAAATAAAATTATTAAAATGTTTTAGAAGTTTTATATAATTGTAAGGAAAAAAGATGTACTAAACTAATTACAATGGATGAAATTGTGACCAACACTAGTAATTGTTTTGACCAACACTAGCAAACTAGAGAAACAAAAAATAATTACTGAAACAAAATCATCCAGTTTAGTTAGACGACCAAATATATTAGAATTCATTTTAAGCCTTCATGGATGAATGTTAGGTGATCAAATTATTAAAAGGCCAAGAAAAAACTTGAATTATGGAGGTCTACATTGTAGTCTAAAGGCCTTCATTTAAGTAGAACTAAAACTAAATACATGGAATGTAATTTTAGTAGTAATAGCTCTAGTGGCAGAAGTGTGACCTTTGGGTGACTTTGGGTGATCAAATTATTAAAAGGTGTCAACGATTTAGATATCTTTGGCCCGTTGGTCAAAGCGATGGTGATATAATGGGGATGTCAATAGTAGAATTCAAGTTGGTTAGTTGAAGTGGAGGAATGCTTCGGGCCTTTTGTGTGATAGAAAAGTACTTCTTAGACTAAAAGGAAAATTTTATAAGATGGTGGTGAGACCTGCAATGCTCTATGGCGTTGAATGTTGGCCTTTAAAAGAGAGGCATAATAATAAGTTAAGTGTTGCCGAGATGAGAATGATTAGGTGGATGGCTGGCTTTACACTTAGAGACAAAAAGCGAAATGAATATATCCGTGATAGGGTTGGTGTAGCTTCTGTGACGGAAAAAATTTGAGAAAGTTGTCTTAGATGGTTTGGTCACATTAAACGTCGACCATCTGATGATCCGATTAGGAGAGTAGATGTTTTAGATTCGACTTGCGTTAAGAAAGGTAGAGGTAGACCTAGGAAGACGAGCTTATTGTATTAAAAATGATCTTAATTTAATAGAACTAAATAAAAATATGACACTAAATAGGAAAAAATATGACACTAAATAGGACAACACAATGGAGAAATAGGATTCATGTAGCAGACCACACGTAGTGGGATTAAGCTTTGTTGTTATTGTTGTATGGATGAATGCTGATGAAAACAATAATGCACACACATCTAAACTGGCTTTTTTCTTACCTTCACTTCTTTTTTATTTAAACTCTAACTAGCTCATAGCTTGAAATAGCGCATCGAATTCATGAAAAACTCAAATCATATATCCTCAAGCACAACCTTATAGCAGAATTATAAAACTTCACATATGATATACTCAATTATTACAACATACATGAAGATCTTGAAAGTTACAAACTTTTGGATGATGGTTCTAAATTACCATAAACTATATCTTTGAACTCGGATGAGGTTGCTAAGAACTCTTCAAGTGCTTCAAGTGTCATGAGTTTGAAGCAAACTTTTTTAGGAAGAAACACTCTTGGCGAATCAAATGAGAAAGAATTTGTTTCCGCAACTAAAAAAAAACCCCTACATCTAAAAATCTAGAAGCTTAAGTTATGAATGATTTTGCTGGTAATAATACGATAAATTCATATTGACAGCCAAGAAAGCCACAAATGAGCAAGGGAAGGAGAAAAAAACAAGTATTTTTCAAAGAATTTAAGTAAGATACCGAGGCTAATGAGCATTCTCAATGTAATTACCTGATTGGAGGAGACCTAAAAAATGTTCTTCAAATCATTCATCTTAAAATTGGAGGTTGCCATAGTTCTTAATTCCTATCTTGTGCAATTGATCCAAAACATCTACTACAAGTATTCTACAACCCCATAATCAAGTTCACCGATATTGGCAAGTGGGGAAATGAATAATTTTATAAACAATTACATGAAATTTCAGACAACACTAAACCATTTCATAAACAGTTTCTTGACAAAACTAAGCTTCTTCTTTATTCATTAATAGATGATGGGTGTTTCTCAATTGCTTTAAGATGTTTCATGAATGTTAATTGTCAAACCATCAATTGTAGCCTTATTAAAATAAAACATTTCTTTTCAAGCCGCTCAGGAAAACAAGGATATTTGTAACTCAAAAGTAATAAGACAAAAGCTATATGCTACCTATCTTGTTGTTTCTCTTGTAGTGGCTGGACTTAGTTCGTGTCTATAGTTAGGGAAAAAGATTTTCATGTGAATGACTTTGAGAAGAGAAATACAAATTAGTGCAATAATAAAACATCAATGAAATATAAAAAAATGCTAAAAAAATGAGAGATTAGTCCTTCCCCTAGAAAAGCCTTGCTATAAGCGCCGCAGAAAGGCGGTTAGGGGGCCGTAGACAACCCATTGCGCACAGGAGGCAAGAAGGAGACTGAGATGAAAAGGGAGACCTTGTGCTAGAAAAAGAGGCGCAGAAAAAATTGAAGCCGTAGATGGAGGGTAACATGAGAGAGACAAAGATGACTGAGGAGCCTAACGTGCGGGACTTAAAGTTTTTGGGATTTTTTTTTTTAAATATTTGAAATTTATTTTATTTTTTTGGAATCCTTAAGTGATAGGTAGGGAAAAATCCCATATATTAACACTTAAATTATAAGGTTTAGTTTTTATCAAAAGAAAAACCGAGCCATTTCGCATAAACTTGCCCAGGTTGCGCCAAAGTAATACTAGTCGAGGAACTATCGAGATACCACCCCTTCATCTAAGAAGCCGAAGCGACGACCTTGAAGTCTTTGGTACCTGGGAGATCGTCGACCATGGAGGTCCCGGCGGATCACTCTGCGCCGAAGAGCGAAGTCTCAGCTGCTGCCGGTTCTAGAGGTCAATCAATGGACTATGCGCCATACCCTAAGATTGATCCCGCCGACATTGATCCCCCTCCCCCGCCGCCGCTGGGGACGCAGAACGACACTGGCCACATGGCCACATCCATGCCGGTGGAAAGAAATCCCTACGTCACGCCCTCATCGGTTCCCTCGTCCTCCAAGAGTGAGCTGATCCTTTTTATCAGTTGTCCCCTTATTTAGGATTTGCTTTCGGTGAACGATAGGTTTTCTGATTTGGGGATTGCATTTGATAGACACCATAGAGTCGGTAAAGGATGTGCTGGGGAAGTGGGGGAAGAAGTTGGGCGATACAGCGAAGAAGACAGAGGATCTTGCTGGAAACGTCTGGCAGCACTGTGAGTTTGAGATAATTATGTCTTGTTCTTTAGATTATTGCTCTCTATTGCACTTTTAGTTTATTTTTTTATTCTGAATTGGTTGTCAAGATTTAGTTTTGGGGCTAATTTTGTTGCTTGTGAACGGAAATCATGGTAAAAAAATGATGTGATCACTTCACAATTATCCCATTGGAGGGCTTTCTAGGCATTTGTAGATTTTAACATTAAATTACTTTTAGGTGCTTCCAATAATAAATGTTGTGGGATCTGGCAACTAAATGGGCAATTCTATTGCTTTAGATAATCATTTTTTCCCGAGGAGGTTGTTTTAATTATTGCTTAAGCTGTGCAAACTTCAGTATAGATCTTCATTTTTTCATACTTGTGGCTGCTTGATCAGTTTTCTGTTTGTAACAAAAATGCCCAAATTCTGTCATCTTTGTAATGGCACTGGAATAAATGTAGAAATTGATTTTAATTTTTTTTTGTCTTGATAAGGAACTTTTACAAGTAGGATTATAATTTTGACCATGCAATTATTTGAATCCCAATCATCCATTACTTTCTAGGTGCCTAGGCTCAAATTCACTTATATCTTTAAAATCACTTTGATTTTTGCTTATTCAGTCCCAGTCTGCCAAATTTGAATGCACAGCTAGGAGTGGAGTTTGATTCATTAATTAATCCTTTTTAGAGGGCCCCGTTCTCTCCATCAATTATAATGAAGAGATTCATGGTCTTGCAATGAAAGGGATGCAAATTACAAAAACTTAAATTATTGTATTGAATAGTTAATAATGGATGATGTAATGAAAGTTTTCTTTATTATTAATATATAATTATATTGGAAATGTGCCATCTTTCTAAAGGTTTTCAAAATGCACATCATTTTATGAATATTGTTTAGACAGTATAAAGTATAATCAATGGGGGCATCTTTTAAAATCATGTTCACAAATTCAAATACACATTAATCACATACCTCATATTGCAAGAGATTATGAAAAAGCTAAAAAGAAAATATGCTGTTTATTTTTTAAGTGTAAAACTGAAGTTATGTGAGGCAATGTTATGAGATGTGATGTAAATGCTCGATAAGATTGAAGGCTTGCTAAAGGTGTGATGTTTTTGGAAGTGGAAATGACGATAAAGTGGAAACAAGTGTAATGAAGGTGATGGTGATAAGAAAAGGCTACGATATTGGACTTGAGTTGCCCAAAAGCAATAATGACAATAATAGTTTTGGCATTTGACATGCAGGTGGGGATGAGATGTTGTGAATTAGTAATGGTGGCCTATTTTAGTGTTGGTTGGTTGTGAATGTTAATGTTGGTGAGGGCTAGATGATTTTGAAATATTGGTTGGACTCTATCATCGTAATAATCATCATCAGCCTTATCCTAACTATTTGGAGTTGGTTTAGTTATCCGTTCATTTGATTTTTGCCCGAGGTGTTAAAATTTTAACATCCTTTGTACATGTTATCTTAGGCCTCTTTTTTTTTTTTTTTTTTTTTTTTTTTTTTTGAATTCTATGACACTAATTTTATCTAACCATCTAGTGGGTGCATTTTCTATCCATATTGTTAAAATAAATACATAATTTTTTCAACAAATAGAATATTTTATCTCAAATTTTGACATGAATTAATTCAATAAAATGGTTTAATAATTCATAAATATTTTATATAAATTTTCTGATTAATTTTAAGATAACAATTCAAGGGGGCGTTCGTGCACGCGCTCACACACACATATACATACATGCATACATCCATACATGTATACATACATACATGCATATATCTATACATGTATACATACATATATACATGTGTGTGTGTGTGTGTGTGTGGGTCGGCTACATTAATCTTTTTTATCCGTTATGTCTTATTGAGTGTCATATTTTCATTTAATTCTAATAAATTAAGATCAATTTTATACAACATAGCCAAGTCTTTTAGGTCAACCTCTATATTTCTTAACATAAGTTAAATCTAAAACATCTACTCTCCTAACATGGTCATCAGATGATCGACATTTAATGTGATTAAATCATCTATGACGACTCTCTCTGTTCTTGTCTGTCACTGGAGCTACTCCAACCCTTTCTTAGATATATTTGTTTTGCATTTTGTCTCTAAGTTTAAATCCATTCATCCACCTGAGCAGTCACATCTCAATAACATTTGGCTAAATTTTATGTTTCTCTTTTACAAGCCAACATTCTGTGACATAAAGCATTGCTGGTCTAATCAGTGTCCTATAAAATTTTCTTTTAAGTCTAAATGGTGCTTTTCTACTGCACAATAGGCCCAATGCATTCCTTCACTTCAGCCAACCAACTTGAATTCTACTAATAACATCCTTATCTATAAAACCATCACTTTAAACAATAGACCTGATATATCTAAAATGTTCACTCCTTTTAATGACATGATTCTCCATTTTTACTTTGAAATAATGTTGTACAAGAATCATATTATCTGTTAAGCTCTTGATAAATAGGGTGGTGTCAATTTTACATTTTCTAATTCCATGAACAATTAGAAATTTACTTAGCCTATCAAAAAATCTTCAAGTTTAATTTAGGTGAAACCCTTTTGCCAAAATTTTGGAGTACTTTGTTTGATTACTTCAAAAGTTTGTAAATATGTTATTAAACTTGATTTATATTTTTATTTGCTATAAATCTACTTCATTTTGAATTTATTTTCTTGTTATTTTAAATTACAAAATTATCTATTATGATTAGAAATTTTTATGTTAATTTATTTAAATTTTCATGTTAGATTGAATCAATATAGTACATTGTGTTAGCTAAAAATTTTATTTCATTTTGGTTTAAGTTTTTATGTTAAATTAAATCAAAATCTTACACAATATTGATTATAAATCTTTTTTCATTTTAATCTAACTTCTCTTGTTGTTTTGCATTGTGTTAAATTGAAAATTTAGATTAAGTTCAGTTTAATTTGATTTGCATCTTTATGCTTTTCGAGTGAGGAAACTGCCACTTTAGGAGTGAGGAAACTGCCACTTTAGGAGTATAAAAGAAATCAATAAAAGGTGTACTTCTAACATCAGTGGATCTACTTAGTTGGGGAATAGATATGCTTCGTAAATCTCTTATTAACCATCAAACATTGAGATATTATCAACTTTGGACTAACCTAATGGTTTTATCCCATTGGTGTAATGTAACATCCTAAAAAATCACCCATCTCAGGAGTGCTTTGATAAAGAAAACACTTAACTTTAGAGTCTACAATTAAATTCTAATTATTATACTAAACAATGCCTCAATAATTATGACTTCAACTTCTAAGGAAAGGGAATTTATAAGATTTTCACTTGCAATAGGTTTATTAGAAAGGAAAAATAGAGCTGGTGGTTTAGGAATTTATAAAATATTTTGGTGAATAAGTTTTTTTCTTAAATTCAGCATTTCATGCTGTTTTAAAATCAAAATTAGTATTGTTGTTTGAATTTTTTTAAAATTTATGTGTTTAAAATCTGAAATATATTTATCTTAAAAATTACATTTAATTTAACATAATCTAAACTTTAATGTGAGCTTATCAATTTATGAAATCAATATATGTGTATGTGAATGTGGTTGGTTTGAAATTTTTGTAAGATCACCTTCATTAATTAATTTTGATTTAAGCTAGAATTTGAAAATCTTGTAATTGTCAAAAATTATATATTTTATTTTTCTTCAAGTCATTTGGCTTGTTTTTCCTTTCTTGTTTTCACACTTGTAACATGATTGGGTTGGTTCTTACCCTGTAAAAAGTGTATGTAGATTGTAACCTTTTTATTACTGGTGGTTTCCTAGTTTAGCGGTTGTGTAGGCATTAATGTAGGCCTTGGGATTAGTTTTGTGCCGAACCATGTAAGAATTACTTGAGCACGCTCTCTTTTTGTTATGTTATCTTTTTTTGCACTCTTGTTTGTGTTTATTTCTTGTCATTTTATTTTCTGGTCAAAATTACTTTTGGTTGTGACATTGAAATCAATTGAATTTGAATCAAGTTAATTACTCTTACTCGAATAAGAATGTTCAAAATCACTACAATAATTTTTTTAGAATCAACCAATGATTTTTTTTGTGGTTCTGATGAATTTACGATGAAATTGTAATTGTCAACAATTTGTTTTGTGATTTTGAAAATCTTTGTTTAAGAGAAGTATGTGGTGAATAATTTTGACAACTACCAAAACGGATATATCATAATTTCTCACAAGGCACTTTTTTATTTTACCCCCTCAACCTAAACCCTAGAAATTATATTTGTTTTTATACCCGTCATTTGGTTTTATCAATTCAAAAATTTAATATTTAGAATATAAAGGCATATTTTATCTTTAATTAATTTTATTTGATTATTGTTAATGTCACACTCATTGAAATTATCTATCATATATCTAGGTTTTTATTGTAGTTTTATAACTTGAGTAAACTCTACAATGACTTGATTTAAACTACATTAGGGAGAACACAAAGATGTGAACTTAAATGTTGATCCTTGATGTAATGTTACTACAATTCAAAATTTTTTGGTCGCTTTGTCACTATTTTTAGCACTATTTAGTGCTTCTTCATACTTATCCATAATTACTTCCCTATATTCTTGACAAACCAGATTGGACCGATAGATTCAACTGAGTTGACCATGAGCCGACATATATAGAATCGACAAGTCCAAATTACATTTTTAGTCATTTTTAATTCTCAATCCATGCTTAAAATTTTTCTTATAAATTTATATCTTTAAATTATACAAGAAGAACAACAACGAAACCTTTATCCCACTAAGTGAATGATTCATGATTTCTTGCATGCGTGGAAAACTAACTTCCAATCCATTGTGTTGATAAAATTAAACATTTTGTTTCTTATACTTGTTTTTTGGCTAGTCATACTTTGTTTTACAAACTGCTTATGTCTCTTTTTCAGTAGCAAAATATTTAAAAATCAAAGCAAGAATTTTATTTCATCCAAAATATCCTAAT